AGAAAATACATTCTGTATAACATTCATTACTTACGTTTCAAAAGGAAATAAGAAATGATTTGAAGAATTTGTAGTGATGTTATGAATATAACATAGGCAAAAGTACTCATTACCCCCTGAACTTGAACCTTTTTATACGGTGTACACCTAAACTAAATTTCGTTTTAATTACCCCCCCGAACTTGTTTATTCCTCCGTCGCGTACACCTTTTTCGTCCAAATGGCGTAGAAATTGACAACAATCTCTACTAGGCGCGTGAGGAAGTGATTTTATGCCACATCATAACGCTACAGCGATAAAAAAAATGTAAAATCTTCATTTTTCTTTAATATTTGGCATATTTTAAACGAAAAATAGGGTAAAATGTAAATGAAAAGTAAAGGAAACAAAGATTAACACTTACTTGGTAAGAATTTCAGACAAATTTGAAATTTAATCGACCAACTTCACGTCTAGAAAAACCCAAATCCAAAAGGAGTTCCGCGAAATCAGCCCTTATTCAAAAATAACTTTTAAACAATGAATTTTAAATTTAAGAAATTTATTTTTTGCAATATTAATTTATCCAGGTGGAAATCCACATCACCAATTTAGACAGCTGTCGCGCGCGTGTAGTCCCAACAGGAGTAGGTGGACGAAAAAGGTGTACGCGACGGAGGAATAAACAAGTTCGGGGGGTAATTAAAACGAAATTTAGTTTAGATGTACACTGTATAAAAAGCTTCAAGTTCAGAGGGGTAATGAGTACTTCTGCCTATAACATAAGAAAGATAATATTTAAATTGATATATTAAAGTGGATAATTAATGTTCAAAGAATCCCCTCCCCCTTAACCTTCTAAAAGAAGTGAACAAATAAAAGTCAAAATTATTTTTAATAGGGAAAATACATAAAAAAAAAAAAAAAAAACCTAAACTTGGTAGCACAACTTACTTTAGCACTAAAACTATACGGGTGTTTAAATACCCCCTTAACATCTTTCAAGTGAATTATATACACCCGAATAGCTGACGTGGCAAGTCGAAAAAATCATTGCGCGTAGAAAAGACTAACTGGGCCCTAATTTTTTCTTTTTAGCCAATAATCATTCTTTCCTTCATCTTCCTCGTACCCTACCACCCCCAGCTGTTAGTACCACCAACTCCTTCATCTTCCTCACACCCCACCACCCCTCCCGCCCTCAACCCCACTTGCATCACTTCTTTCTTCTTCTTGACCCCACCCCCACCTCTTTCTCTTTTTGAAACCCCCATCTTGACCCTATATCTCCTCTTTGAAACCCCATCGCGACCCTCTTTCTTTTTCTTCGGACTCGCCGCCTCAAACACCACTTGCCTCACCTTTTTCTTTTTCTTCTTCGAAGAACTCTCCAACTTCTTTCTCCTTTTTTTGAAACACCCCCATCCCACCCCTATTTTCTTTGAATCAGTAAAAGGGTGTGATGAACACGAAAAAAAAATAGAAAAGCCAATAATTTATTTTTATTTCTAAATTATTATTTATCGCAGAGTTTGAATGTAATGAACTTGAAGTTTTTTTTAACGAAAAATCTACAATTTTTTCATCTCAAATTAATTTTTCAGTCATTATTTATTGTTTTGATCATGTCTTCAAAATTAAATGTGTTTTTGTGAGATTGTGAGAATAGTTTTGAGATCTTGGATCAATCTGACTCAGTTTGTTCAATTGCAATTGTGACTGAGTTGTTTCTTTTTAACCAAAGGGGATTGTGACAATTGATGAACAAGTGCTGATTTTTTCTAAAAAAAATTGCTTTCTAAATTTGTGAATAAATAAAAAGAAAAAAAAAGAATTTAAAAAATCAAAATTTAAATAATATTCTATGTGGCACTGATGTGGCAATGATGTGGCGCTGACGTATCAATGACTTGGAGCGTGTGGAATACACTTGCCAATGTGAGATTGGTATTATAATTTTAGGGTGATATTAAATTCACTTGAAAAGAGATTAGGGGGTAAATAATTACCCGTAAAGTTAAAGTACTAAAGTAAATTTTGCTGCCAAGTTCAGAGGGGATTTTATGTATTTTCTCTTTTTAATATAATGAAATATAATGAATCGCATGCGATATGTCATATAAAATGTGCATTCAATTGTTCAACTTTATAATGATTTAAGTATGTATTTATATACCTTCAAAATTGGCGACATAAATATCGAGTGATGCCAATTAAAGGCATGCTTATTTATTATGCCTTTTATTAGATATTGTTTCACATGGAATAGTTGGAGTAGATTTTGTTTTTTTTGGAACTACACCCTCCTACATGGTTTGTTTAAATTTTGCCAAAACTATTATGGAACTAAATCACCATGATTAAACTCTAATTTCTTGTTATTTTCAATTGCTTTGCATTAGAAAAATGTGACAATTCATATCCTACATGAGATCCTACGTGTAATATGTCACGTACACGTATGTCTACTTGTTCAATTTTTATACAAGTTTAAATGTCTACTGTGCATATCCAAAGTTGGAGGACATAAATGTTAGCTAAGGCATATTTATGTATTATCAAGAAACATTGCACAACAACATGATAGATCAGACACATACTATTCGCATTCTGAGATGTTTTGGAACCCGACTAATCTTGATTCACAGTGGAAAGTCCTACTTGGAGGTGTCTCCATTTCCAAGACTCGAACTCGGGATCACCCAGCAACAACCTTTTGGGACAACCTTTCTTAGATATGGTATTGTGATTCTACACATTTTCATGAGTTCATTGAGTTGCAAGCAAACTCAATATAGTTGTTACTACTACTCACATATGACTAGCAATCACAAAGCACAAACAACATCCTGCTGGCAGACGAACTAGACAGTGGATCGGACCATATCTGAACGTATCCCAACGTTCAAATAACTGGCTATGTTGAATCAGTATTGCAAATTTTTCCCAACTCCGGAATAAGGCTAGCATCAGCATTAACGAGGATGATTTCACTTTCATAATCAAAAAGTCGTATTGAATAGCAAAGAGTTCCTGGTATAACATAAAAGAATGAAGTTGTTAATAGAGTTGAATATCAAGAAACTAGAAACGCGGCCAGAAGAGAAAGATGAACTTTTTGATAAGGTAAATGATTTCATTTATAATGGGAAAATCTCCCATATACAACCAGCATACACAAAAGCAGACATGAAATAAAGATGAATTGAAGCGTCTAAATCATGTTTTGTGTGCAATTACATCACATAGTAACCTTCGCTCCACCAAGGACTTCATCGACCTCTAACAAACTTAGACTTGCAAAGAAACCATCAGCATTTCTTAATATCATTTGGGACAGTGTTCCATGCCCTTTCTGAATATCAAAATGGAGCAAACATTTTGCCAATGCTGGGATGGAGTCGGGGTTAAGAATGTAAAGGAGCCAATTTTTACAATCGTTCAGCTGTGACGAGTCATGCAGTCACAAGACAGTTGCCACAGTCCATAGCTAAATAAACTTACCAAGTCTGCAAACGTCGAAGTTGTAGTGCTAAGCTTCATTATCTTGTCCTTGGTGGTTGATGAGACCGGAGCAGGGAAGGGGTTTGATAAATATAAAACCTTACACCTGTACAACATTTTGAACAATTCTACAATTAAGTTACCACTAATTCTCAGCTACAGATTATCTTTTCCATACACTTGTATTTCCATCACTTTTCTGCTTCTTTAGGGAGTTGGGGAGAGGAAGGTCTTTAACAACCTATCTACCTTCACAAGGTAGGAGTAAGGTCTGCGTACACCCCACCTCACCCTATCTTCACATTGGTATGCTATTGTTGTTGGAGAAAGGTCGTTCTTTTACCTTATTATCCTCCAAATTGTTCACCTTACTACATTCTCAAAGTCCATTCATGACATTTTGTGTCTTGGCAACAACTTATGTTGCCTCCCTAAATTCCAAGTTTCGATAGGAGGATAATCAGCTATGACACAGTTTGTCTATTCATAATACTCATATGTAAGAATAAAATATAAAGGTTTAATGGTCTTACTTTCTCTTGGCTGTGAAATCTTTTGGAAGCCTCCACTCCATCTTCTTCCATGCCAGTACATATCCTCCACATTCAACAGTGTTGCCAACAGCGAAACACGCAAAAGCACCAAGGTCCATTGGGGCTTTAAGCGGAAACCGCAAATAAAGCTTGGAGTTTAATGAAGAAAATATACAAATATATGTGTAGTCCAAAACCTAATATAATTATAAGCCTGAACAACGAAAATATATGGATAAATTGAAAAAAAAATACCATAAAGTGAAATATCAATTGTTTAGTATAGCCTCTTGTTAATTACACTCATTGGCAAGGGAAAATATGCCTTAAGGGGTCTTTGATGACAACGCTGAAGCACCCACTAAGCAAGACGAAGCGCTCAACATGTTTTACAGCTTGCTTCAATGCTTAAAGCGCGCCTTTGACAACACTTATTTAAATTGAGGATGAATGACTTTCAACTCATTTGATAGTCCATGATACTACTAAATACTCAAAGAAAATGCAGAGATACAACACAAAATGAAAATCTCCTATGTGATAATTTACTTATGAATGTAAACATTCTTTGTACAAAAGAAAAGGTCAAGTGTTCATTTTGCTATTTGCATCAAGCAGAAGCAGATCAGAAGACAGATAAAAATTCCATAATCAGATCCCGTGTTCATTAGTAAAGATACAATCTTTTCTAATACAGATTGCATCATGACAGAGCACACTAATCTATGCAACAACAACAACAACGAACACCCAATGTAAGGCCTGAGGAGGGTAAAGTGTATGTAGACCATACCCCTACGACTGTTTCCGATAGACCTTCGCCTCAACGAAAAAACTACACAAAGTTATGCATAACTTAAAAACACATTTGGTTATCATCATTCAGCAAATGGATACATTTTAAACAAGAAAAAAAAATCAGAATTAAACGAAAAACATAGAAAAAAAAGTTCTTTTTTTCAATCATAATCATCAAAAATTAACTAGAAACACAAAGGGGCAATGATATGAAAATCATCAGATGGAGGTGGAAAGTTCAAATCAAACGGCAGAGGATCTTTACAAAACGACGACGTCTGATCATCGCCGCCGCCAATGCAATTACCATCCACCACAGAAGACGACGAATCACAATCACTATGGCCTTCCCCCATCGGAATCCGGCGAGGAATTTCAATCCGCGGTTGCATAATTTTACACAATGCACGCGCATCACTCGATGATTCCACCGTACTACTCATACTACTCGACGCCGGCCTTGATTGTTGAAGATTTTCAAATTGATTCTCCCCATAAGGGGGCAATATTGGGAAATTAGTTTTCGCTTTAGCTCCATGAAAGGACCTTGCAGCAGTATCATAAGCTCGTGCAGCACCCTCCGCTGTATCAAATGTACCCAGCCATTTCCGAGCTTTTTTCACCGGATCCCTTATCTCAGCAGAGAATCGACCCCATGGCCGTTTACGTACACCCCTATAACGAGGTGGGTCAATCTCCGATTGTCGAAAAACTACGGATCTTGATCCATTTGTATCCGGATTTTTCCGACGGGGCATGGCCGGTAGGTGGAAATAGGAGATGGGGTCGTCGTAAACTGTAACCGGCGGCCACCAAGTTGATCGGAATTGTGTAAATTAATGTTGTTGATGATTATTTTCCATGGAGATGAAGTTGATAAGTGCAAATCCGCAATGGAGAAGAAAGGGGAAAAGAGTTCATCTTGTGATATAATTTACTATTTTTTATTTTTTTTATTTGGTTATTTTTTTTTTTTGGGATATGCTTTGCTTTATTTGGTGGATAGAGAATTATGAATAGTATCTACCAATGACCAATCAATCAAAACTTCCAAATTTCCAATCACCAATTATTTGAGTTCAATAAAAATAAAAATATAAATAAAAATAAAATTAAGTATATTTAACTTTTCTTTATTTTGAACTCCTACAAAAGAATTATTTAAAGGGAAAAGGGTATGATATACCCCTCAACTTTGTCATTTAGAATTAATATATCCCTCGTTATAAAAGTAACTCATATATACCTCTACTTATATACAAATGACTCACATATACCATTTTCCTCTAACGGAAATGGAAAAAAAAAATTAGTTTAATTTTTTTATTATTTAAAAATATATATATATAATCCCATATGGGGTATATTTAATCCTCCTCGAACATATTTTTTTTTGACATTTTTTTGGTTTCAATGACTAATTTAGATTTATTATTTTGATGGTCAAATTTATTTATATTTCACTAATATTCTTGTAAATCTTATTATAGATGACTAAATTTTTTTCTTCAAGCACAAAAATTAAATTACAATATGGACAAAAAAATAGTTTTAAATTATAATATAGCCACAAAAAATAGTTTTAAATTTTTTCTTTACACTAAGGAATGAAAGAAAAAAATAAAATAAGAATAAAAAACTCAAATAATGATAATCAAAGAAAGTCAAAAAATAAATTTAATGTATGAAAAAAATTAAAATAATACCTTAGAACTTTGCTAGAAGAATCATATATACCCCTAAGTGATTTTTTTTTTAAAAAAGTCAAAAATATAAATTTAAAACTAATTTTTTCACTTCCGTTAAATGAAGGGTATATGTGAGCACATTTTGTAACGGTAGGGGTATATGTGAGCCGTTTGTATAGCGAGCCGATAAGGGTATATATGAGTCACTTTCATAACGAGGGGCATATCAGCCCCAAATGACAAAGTTGAGGGGTATATCAGGCTCTTTTCCCTTATTTAAATTGAATCCTTTTTTTAAAGAGTTCTTGACTTCTTGCGCACCTTGACTAATTCCATGGATATTTGTCACCTTCCATCAGGAACATGTACTAGATAACTCTGTCCACCAAAGCTAAGACAGGGTTAAATTGATCGATCTTTTCTTTTACATCAACTAATTTTATGAGACCAATAACATATATCAGATAACTCTGTCTATCAAGACTAGAACAAAGTTAAATTGGATTGGTATAATCATAAAAAAAAAAACTAATTTTCAAGAAATAAAGTAGAAAAACTTGTGTTAACCTCAAGAATAACAAGGCTCGAACTGAAAATAAATTTTTATGTAAGTTATAAGTATAGCTCAGGAGATGAGATTAGATTTGCATCATCTCAAATTAAAGAAGCTTTGTGGTCTTGGTATGTGTTAGTTTGACATTTTTTGAGGAGGTCCTACATATATAAAAGAATTATATAAGTTGTATACGAAGTTCTCTAAGTGTGAGATTTGACTTGACACGATGAGATTTATGAGTCAATATTTTTGCTAAAGATAGGAGGATCATGATAAATCTAAATATAAGTCCCTTCCATCTTTTGTCCACCAAATGAACGTATGGATCTTATGCCACCAACCAAAAATAAGTAATTTTGACATTCTCAAAACACTTTTAGAACTTCACAAAGGTAACACTTTGAGCACAATTAAATCTTCTTCTTCATAGATTTTCGTGTGTCGCACACTACTTTGTATGGGGCATTTGTCTTTCAGATTACTCCAGCAACCGCTACCAGGTAACTCCATTCACCAAGGCTAGAACCTATGGGGAAGAAATCACCTAGTGTTTTGTAATGACCCTCTTGGTCATTTCTGTGTCTTGCCTTCTATGTGTCGTTTAGAGCGTTCCTGTAGCGACCCCAAGTCATTTATGACTTGCTGGGACTGACAGTTCGGTCACCTGATCGTTCGTTTGGTCTTGGTGTGAGTTTTTGTGTTTTGGAGCTTATGGACCTTGAATGATCATTTTCGATCAAAAGTTCAAGAAGATGACATCGAAATTCAATTCTGACGATTCCATCAGCTCCGGAAGGGTCATTTTAGGCTAGTAGCATGGTCG